GATAATTGAAAAGACACCAAGTAGCTGAGAACATATAAACATATAGGCTATTTCAAAAAAACAACACTACAACAATAATCTTTCATACACTCAACTGATTACACTAATTGAACATACTTAAAAAATTTTTACTAAAATAATTATTCATAAATTAAACGAAATTCTTACTCAACATTTAATACTAAACCTAAATAATAATGTTGCACTCTTATTCACATTCACTCTTTAACCTATTCAAACTATTTTTCACATAATAGAGCATGCTAATACAACAAAAAACAAATAATGAATTTTAGCACAAGATATGTCCAAAGTCTATGATACAATACACATTTCTCTACTAATCAAAACACTTTAATAAATTCATATTTCTTCTTTGATTATAAATTTATTAAATCATCTTTTTAACAACAGACAAAATTCTGTTATTACAAGTATTAGTCTAATATAATCTTATATTGTACAAGATGGAATCGATTAGAGAGAGACCTTTTCTTCAATTTTATAAAGAATCTACTATGATCCATTTATTAACTGTATCTATACAACATACCAAAAATACTAACTTAATACTCATACATATTTATCTAAGATATCAATATATACTTCAGTAATAGCATATATAAACAATACAGTATAGATAGTCAAAAACAAACAAGAGTTACAAAACATATTAAAAACAGTCAACTTCTTTCTCTCTTATGCCAATATCAAAGTCAACTCTCATAAATTAATACTAGTAACTAATGACTTAGATCCTAATGCTAATATAATATTTCAAGAAAAAAATATATCTAATATTTAACAAAAAGCAATATTTAAACATATAGGAGCATGGCTTACTTGAGACTCATCTTTTCAACCTACAAAAAAAATTTGTATCAAAGACATTATCTCTAATTTAAATAAAATCAAATTTTCTAAAATAACTAACAAACAGGCTATTTATATTATTAACAATGTGATTCTTGCATATGCAGTATATCAAATGCAAAGCACTTATCTATCAAAATGCTCTTGTAACTTTATTACAAATCTATGCACAAATATTATTAAACAGAAAGCTTGACTAGCTCAATTTACTCCTAACTTCACCCTATATCATTCTAATATATATGCTTTAAACACACTTTACAATGTTCAATAACAATAACAAATTCACACATTAGATTGAAGTATTAATTCTTCTGACTTTAACAATTGCAGTTTAAAAATTCAATTACAACAAATTCAAAATGATGCCAACTTAAACAAATTAATTATACTAGAACAACCTATACTAACTACAAATGAAATTAAAACAAATACAGCTCAAATAATAATTACACTTTACTTATTAAATATTCAGCTAGAACATACAACTAACTCATAGCCTATACCCAAATAAACAAAAGGCATATCTATTAACCAAATTCTTTATTCAATAAATAACTATATGCTATCAAAGAAAAACTAAATAACTACAACATAACTTGTATTGAACAATTCTTTGACTACTCGAACTACAATATCTTAGATTGAATATTATTTCATTAAAATATACAAAAATACCAAAAGAAAAAACATTTAAATAGTTCAAAGCAATTATAGACAATATAATCTCATCAACAAACTTATCTACAATACTAAACTATTCTAACCTATACACTTTTATAAAAATTAATACTATGACTTTACAATAGATAATGACAAAATCATAACAATTTGAAAAATTAACAAGCATCACTAATAATTAGACCAAAATCAAACATTATAACACTCATCTGCTAAATGCTCACCAACTAATATTATGTTTTGGATACCAAATCAAAAACCCAAAATTCAAAACAACCTATTGCTATTTTACTAGCCTCATACATCTAACCTTCAAAATTCAAGTTAACTGTCACAAACAAATTTATACAAATCTTAATTGTTTATATTCTTATTAAACAACTATACAATCTAAAAAAAATTACAAATATTTACTTTTAACTTCAAAATATTGAACCAATTATTGACTCTTACAGACTTTTGCAAATAACTAAGAAGAAATATGAAAATTATATATGACAAGTTTATTCTCAAAAAAACTAAACTTCAAATTTACAACTACTTTTAAGAAAACAAATAGATACAACACTCCTTATGCTCAACTATCATTTCAGCATAATGATTATATATGGCATTGCATCAACCAAACATTTCTTTCTTCAAATTATGCAATGTTTACAATGCTTGCAATAATTCTTATAGTAATAACAGAAGAGATGAAAATTCAAATATTAACTAACAAAAACAACATCTTTATTAAAATTTCAACAATGCTTACAAGGTTATCTGAACAAAAACACCAACTAAGGAAAACTCCTTTTAACAACATTATTACTCTTCTTAATACTATTATCTATACTAAAAACTTAAAGATTAAAATCAACCTAACAGAAGAAAAAATTAGCATAAAAAATGCCTTTTGTCAATTTCAGATTGATTTGCTACCTAATATAGTACTAAACACTACTTTTACTTTCTTCATAATGAATACATCAATTACATATACAATTCACTAAATACTTAAAATTCTACAACAAGCAGAAGCAATTATTACATAGAATAATCAGAAGCATATAAAACATATTATTGATAATCTTTCTAACATTAATTGGAAACTTATATTCAAATATCTTAATTTTAAAACAAACCTCTTAGTAAACATACTGATCCTATAAAATCTACTTTAAAAATATTCAAAATCAAAATTCTAACCTCAAAACTATCAACATATCTTAACCTTCATAAAAGAAACCCAACAATCCACACCAATCCATATTGTGCAAAGTGTTCGAACATATTAGTAGATACAGTTTATATGCTTACCTATTTACACAACCAAGTAGAAATAAAAAAAAATAATAAAAAAAGCAATAACAAAAACCTGTGAAGATAATAAAATTGAAACAACTATATTAACAAATCTAGCTTAAGAAATCCAAAACATTTACTTAGATCAACAAATTCTGATTAGAATTATAACAAATAATTTACATGAACTAGGTTTACTAAAAAAAAACTTACTACCAAAAATTTATTACTGAATTACAAAAAAGATATATAAATATATATGGAAATCAAATAGAATATATATTTAACAACATATTTCATCTGCACCAACTATTACTACTGTTAATCCAGACTATATATTACTAACATTTATAGATAGACAATATACTTTATAGCTTAATAGATTTATACATTTAAACCAAACATTCTCTCTTACTAAACCTATAGACTAAAGGTCTCTTAACTATTCTAGCTAAGAATAGGTTAAGGATAAATTAGCCCTAACTCCTACTCTCTTAATTTAATATATCAATTTGTACTAGTTGTACTTAATTATATATTACTGAAATAAAGGACTAGAAAAAAGACCTCTTTTTTAAAAAAAAAAAAAAAAACTTAATTATATCATAATTACATATTATATATAGCTGAACCTATTAAACAATATATAAAAACTAAAATCTTAAATTGCTAGTTATAAAACTGCTATATAGATTACTTGAAGAAAAATCAGATTTATTTTAATTTTAATCTATATACATACATCAGAAGTACTAAAAATTTAATTGCAATTTAGTTTTTATGCAATTATAATCAAGTAAAATTGTTATAAACAACAATTATATTAAAATTAATTGCAATTTTGTAATAATATAAAATTTTAGACTTTAAAATATCAAATTTTGAAAATAAAAAATTAATTGCATTCAAATATAGAAATATAGTAATATTGCACTATTAATATTAAATATAATTTATACTATATATATATAAAAAAACTTTATACAGTCAAACCTCTCTATAATTACACCTCTTGGGATAAATATTTATATGCTTATAAAAATATTTTTACTAAGATATGCTTATAAAAAGGTTTTTTTAATATGTTTATATATAATTAATTTTTAAATAAATATGCTTATAAAGAGGTTTTTTATATAATATGCTTATAATGAGTGTGACTATAAAGAAGTCTGACTATAGTTTAATTTGATGAATGTCATAAATTAACTATATTTTATCATTTATTTGTAACAATAGAAGATTTTTCAAAGTATACAGATTGAGAGATTTTCTTTAGTTTATATTGTAATATTTAACAAGTAAAAACAAATATTCTACAGTATTAAATGTAAAAAAAATAATCTTCATATCTATATACTTTGATTCTTTTAATTTGCATTTTTTTCCACATATTCTTTTATAATAATTAGACTATTGTCTACTAATAGTTATTTTATAATAAATTTCTGAAGTCTTTGTCTTTCATTCTTTAGATTCATACTGCCTAGTACCAGTTTGTGTTTCTTTATACAACATTGTATGAATGCCTAGACCTTTCAGTTATGCTGATATGCCATGAATTACAGGTAACTAATTACAGAAGACAGTTAACTATAATACAAAAAAAATTGCAAATTTTTGCCATCACTAGAATTTGAACTCTAGACCTGCCACTTAAAGGTTGACAACCTATTTATCTTTTTATTTATTTATTTGATCTGTATAATATTTATACAATAATTATATTTTGTATAAAACAATACAAATTAGTACTAAGCAATATAAACTTATGATAAGTTCTTATAACTATATAAATTATAAGAATCAGAAAGACAGAAGTCTGCTTAAAAGACCTGAGTAGAGAGATAGCTTAAACTTTTAATGATGCTACTATCAAGACTTGATTTAGAAAACAAAACTAAAACTTGTAAAGTCAGATAATATATTAGTTTTTTTAAAAAAAATATTGTAATTAATCAAGCTGCTAAAATTTTAAACAAAATAACAAAAAAAAAGAATATATGCTAAAGATCTCTTTTCTCTTTTGTCTAGCACAATACTTTTTTCCATGGCTATACTTTCTTTAAAAAAAAAAATTTTTTTTATATTTTAATATTGTAAAAAGTGTTTCGAAAGCTGTGCCTACCTTGTAATTCCAAAATCAAAGATGAACTCTAATGAATGCCATTTTATTATCTGAAAACAAAAATGCAATAACTGAAGCTGTTTCAACTGTGATCAAAAGTACCAGGGCTAGTAAAGCAAAAAAGAATGCCATTTCAACTGTGAAGAGTAGTGTGAACAGTAATGATAAGTCAAATGTGATCAGTAATATTGAAATTGAAGATAGTGCAACTAGTAATATAGAGCCCTCTTTAATAAGCAATAAGATAACTTTTTTTTTTAGTTTTTTGAACTTTAGTTTGTTTATCACAAAAAAATAACTAATATGTAACTTAGCAAGTTAGATATACAGAACCTACCTTTGGCGAACTTGAAGCCATTTATAGAAATGCAAAGATACAAGCAACATATAAAGCAACAGAGGTTTGGGTTAAGGCCCTTGAAAAATTTCATTCTAACATGAGCTATGAAGGCAAAATTGAAGAAATCGATACAAAAGAGATTCTTAAAGACCAACTATCAAAATTTGTGTATGCTATGAAAAAAAAGGATGATAGTAAATACTATTCATCTTCAATTTATAACTGTATGGCTGCAATCTGGCAGCACCTAAATCAACATTCAGTAATGCTGAAGCCTGTAGAAATTCTGAACCCCAAGATATATTTTGATTTGAATATCATTGTTAATGATAAATTGAAAAATCTATCAGTGAAAGGTTTAGGCAAACATGCCAGGTCAGATGGATTGACCTTGCAAGAAGTTAAGCAAATTCTTTCCCACTATACTATGCAATATGATAATCCAGAAGAGCTATTGCAGTGTATTTTTTTTTATAATTCTATTCTTTTGGCTCTGCAGAGCAGTAAACCTTATGATTTTCAAATAGGTAGCTTTGTAAAATGGCTTAATGAAGGAATCGATATGAAATTGTATAGATCAAAAACAAATCAATAAGGACTTAGAGATTACAATGGTCAAACTGAGGTCATCAGTTTACTAAATATCAAAAGTATAATTAATGACTATGAGTTCTATTTCATTAAGCATTCAGTTATGGTGGTGTCAAATTTTTATTTAAAACCTATATTGGCAAGCTCAAATAAGCATTTATATTAATATTAGCATTTTTTTTATTTCTTTATTCTAATTTTTTTTTTTTTACAAGTTGAATTTTGTGGCCAATGGTTTTATAGTTAAGCAATAGGTGAAAAAAGATTAAGGTTGTACTTTTGGGTTATTTGTGAAGCAATGGATATAGAATTTGGAGGTTACAATTTGTCAAACCATTCAGAAAGAAAAACTGTAGTTTAAGTGCTAAAAGAACTTGGCTATTTTAATACTGTAGTTATGTCAATTACAAGGTATAAATCACAGAAAGGTCTGGTGTTATATAAACAACTAAAGTCTATCATGCAGCAAGAGGGTCTTAACAGATTTTTAAAGGCATTAACATTTATAAATAAAAATGAAAAATTACTCAAAAGTATTTATTAAATTCCAATTTAAATTTTTTGTAACAATTCAATTTATTTTTTTTTTTTTTTTTAGAAAATAAAATGCCATCAAATGGTGATTTTGTTTTGGCAAGTTCTTTACTTAAAAGGAGAAGCTCAATAATATTATTTGCAAGTGATATCGATAAGCTTAAAGTATCATCAAATGACAACTTTAAACTGCCAGAAGCAACCACTGACTATGATGAACCACCAGAAGGCAATACTAATAACCTGCCAGGAGCAAACACTAATGACCTGCCAGAAGCAATCACTAATGACCTGCCAGGAGCAACCACTAATAACCCACCAGGAGCAACTATCACCAATAAGCTGCTGCAGTCACAAACACAAAATGTGTTGGGTGAAATTGAGCTGCAAAACATTCATCAGAAAAATGCACAAAATAAAGAAAATTAAAAGGAATTTATTGAAAAATTTCTTACTAGGAATACTTTTAATAATTGTGTTTTCATTTTTAATTTCCTGTAATTGTAAAATAATAATTAGTATTTTAATGAAAAAAAATAAAAATAATAAAAAATGTAATTACTTAGCTTGTATTAAAGATGCATACAATTATCTATAATATTTGTATAAAACATGAATAGTTGGCATTTAATTATACAAAACATAAATATTTGGCATTGCATCATAATTTTGCTAAAAATATCAAGACATTGCTGTGCTATGATTATATGAGTTGGTCAGATAAATATTGATACTAACTACCTCTGCCAATTTTTATTAATTGTAATTACAATCAATATATTATAGCTTTATTAATAAACAATATATATTGATTTGATAGTAATTAATATATATCTATTCAATAGTAATTGATATAATTCAATAGTAATTAATATAGCAACCAATATAATAATAATCATTTTATATCTTATATCATTGTTTAAAAACTTAATCAATAGCACTTTTATTTAAATAAAAAAATTATCAAAATAAAATTTATTAAAAGCAATTATTATATTTGTAATACAAAGCATTACAAAACAATACAAATAGAAAATATAAAAATTTATATATTAAAAAAACTACTTTTAATAATAAAAAAAAGAATGTGACAATTTGCATAATATCGATATTAATTGGCCTCAAATAACTCATCTTGCTCTTTTTGTAAAAGCATCTCTGAGGAAGCTCTAGAAAAAGACTCACATTCAGGTAAGGTTTGTCTTAATTGTTTACCATTATAGAAATATATCACAAGTTTATTATTCATAATTAATTCTGCAAAATTATAACTGGGCCCACCTTGTTTGAAATTACTCTATTTAAATAATAAATATTAATATTATACTTGTTATAAAATAATGAATTATTAATACTTATTAAATATTTCTCAATATGATGTATAATTCAATTCTTTTTATACAAAACACTTTTAGACTAGAAATTTAGTAAGATATTGCATACTGCTAGTATAAATGCATAATGGTAGTTGGTTAAATCTGGGACAGTGGCTATGTTGAAAGCTGTTCTTACAATAATGCTAACCCAAAGAAAACCTTTGTTGTTTTGCTCAAAAAAAGCACAGTAGCATTCATGAACTTGTTAATTTTGCTTCTACTTGACTATGTTATTAGGGGCTATGTTGCTTTTAAATAAAGTAGCTTTTTATAACTAAAAACTTTCCAAACAGAAGAGCAAATGTTTTGCAATGCTAAACCATAATAGTTCTTTATTTTTTGTAAAAACTATTAAGAAGAAATTTGATATATTATTATTAAAAATAATTAATAAAAAATTAGAACTATTGATAGTTAAATGTAAATATATAAATATATAAAAATACATATCTGACTATACCAACTGTCATAAAACCTATTAGTGAACTCATTTTCACTTATGCTTAACATGAATTCAGAAAAGTTTTTATTTAGGTAATTCTTAAAGGTTTTCTTTAATATATTTTAAATAGAATAGACATGCTGTAGAAAAAGATGTTTTACAATACTAGTATATACTTCTTATAAAACAATTAAAGTAAATAACTTTAGTATACATTCAAAAAAAAAATTAAAATACATATCAGATATTAGTTTAACAAGACATTTTTATATTAAGTATATAAACTCAAAATGTTGTTACAGCTAGATGCTAGTATATCCTGATGTTGATATAACTAGAGTGGCATAAAACATTTACATCTATCACTTTTACAGAAAGATTCTTTTTTTGATCTACTCTCTTGTGTCTTAGTTCATCTTTAACTTTACAGATATTATTACTTAATTTTCTAACTATAAGATATAGCTATTGGTTTTGTTGAAAAAGTTGATCATAGATTTGATAGCAGAAATCAGAATGCTCTTAAAATTTTTAAAAAAAAAAAAAAAAAGTTAAAGATCAGATATTTGAAAATTAGAAAAAAAAAATAAATTTAATTTATATACTATGATTGTTTTATGGTTGATCCTAATTGGATATTTGTTAATTACATAATTGTGATCTGAATTGTAGCGTTTGCTGCAGAGATGATAATGTTCTATTTCATTTGACAGTAAGTGATGAATTATGTTGAAATGAGTGAATAGGTGATGGTTGTTGAGAATGTTGTAAAAGAGATGATTAGTTGGCTTAATGTGATTAAATTTGTTTTTTTACATTTTTTACTTATTTTTGAAAATATTCCTTGTACACTTATAATACTTTTGCTAATGAATCTGAAGCTAAAGAATCATTATTATAAGTATTGCATAGTTAGTGTAGGTCAGTAATATTTTGAGATGAATAAGAAATAATCAATTAGAATCGAGTTGTATTGACAGATACAGCAAGATAAGAAAAAAGTAAGTTATTAAATAAATTGTTGATGAAGGTAAATTGTTGTTAGGAGGCAAATTGTTGATATGAAATAAAGTGTTTGCAGAAGGTAAGTTGTTGTTAGAAGCATTACCAGTAGAAGCATTATTAAAGTTGTTATTGAAAGTATTATTAGTTAAAGCATTATTAAAGTTGTTATTGGAAGTATTATCAGTAGTTGTATTATTAAAGGTGTTATTGAAAGTGTTATCAATAAAAGTATTATTAGAGTTATTTATTTCAAAAAAAATTTTAAAAAAATAATTCAAAAATGTTTTTATCTTTTTAAACACAAAAGCAGTTATTTTATCTAAGAACTAAATAATAAGAATTAATATATGATGATGTTAGTCATTATATAGAAAAAAAATGAATATATACTTATCTTGTTTACATACATATAATGACAATTTATTGTATCTAAAATTAAGTAATAAAAGATGATATTATATAGCAAAAATAAATAAAATATACTCATCTTATTTGTTGTTTGTCATTTTACTTGTAATGACAATTTACTATTATTACATGTATAATAGCAATTTTTGAAATATATCTTATTATTAATAACTTATAAGATTTGAAAAATTTTTTTTTTTTTTCAGTATTAAGGTGACCTCTTTGGTTTGAGCTTTTTATTAATACTTATAGCAGATACATGTTTTATATAGACATATCTATAATAAACTATTAGATAAGTATACAACTGGCTATATATGTAACTTTTCAATATTATCTATTTAAGGAGTCTGTCTGAGGGTTCTCTACCAGTTGCTATACCTAACACCTCTGCTTAGATGTTCTATTTAAATCCTCTGATCTAACTCTAGTATTAATTTTATCAGATTACAGATCTAGATCTATTTACATTTAACCATAGGACTATAATCTTTAGACTATTTTTATCTTTGAGGTAAACCTATCAGAGTGAGCTGTATTCTCTTTTATTGCTAATCTGGTTTGATGCTATGGCCAAGACCAACACTTGCAGTTAGAGTTACTTCTTAAACTGCTATTACCTTTGTAAAGTTTACCCAAATCCTGTTACTTATTTTTCTAACTTCTTCATCATCATCTTCTACTAGCTGCAACTTAGAACTAACTGACTCTTCAGACTTCCAATTCAGATAGTCCAATATAGTATACTTATATATCCTTTTCCTCTGATGATTCCAGTGGTCTGGTTGGTCATATGTTTCTTTATACATCTTTGTCATTCAGTTTATTTGACAGTTCCTATGAAGGTGTTTTATAGACTTCTATTAGTCCAATGGCACTATTAAAAGTTTGTGCTACTTCTTTACTCAGAATTTCCAAGTGAGTTTCTGTCTCTTTGATTTCTTAGCCTTCTACACCCGGTGGTCTTATTGTGAGTTTGCACCAAAGCCTTATATGACACTGGTTTTTTCACATTCCTCTATGTATATGTACCATGTAATGTTATGCTTTGCATAGATATCCCAAGCTCCCAATGTCAGGTGGGACCCGACTTGGTGTACCTAAGATTACTAATGCCTAAAACCCAACCAATTGGCAAGAGACAGTTACTATAATACAGGTATAATTTCCAAAATTCATTATTTGTGAAAATTGAACCTTAGACCTGCCACTTGAGAGTTGACAATCTATCTACTTCACTAGGTTACTACACCCTAATTTGGAAATATCTAAATAACATCAGACATAATATAACATTAGTTTTTAATTAAAATGTTATATTAAATAAACAATTATTATGCTTCATTTTGATCAAAGAAAAAAAATTACTTAAAATCAATATAAATTATTTAAAATCATATTAACTATCTTTTAATCATTGCTTCTTGTTTTATTATTTGGCTTCCTTTATTACTATTTCTTATTCTAATTAAAATTGCTTAAAATCAATATAAATCATCTTAACTATCTTTTAATTATTGCTTCTTGCTATATTCTTTAGCTTTCTTTATTATTATTTCTTATTCTAATCTTTTACAATCGATTTTTTTATTTTTCATTCACTTTCTTTTTCTCTTTTATTCTATCTCTTTTATTTTCTATCTTTTTGAAACTAACACTACTCTTTATTTTTTTTTTTTTATTTTTCATTATTTATCAATAGTTTGCTATTTTCTGTTCTTTATTAACTCTCAGTTATTCTTATTTATTTTTATTCTTTCTTATTTGTTTTTTTTATTTCTCTAAATGCATTAGCAATATGGGCATTGTAATCAAGAATTTTCTGAATCTTATGCCTTAACATAGCATATTTCAAAAAGACATCTTTATATCTAAGATACAACAAATCTATCTGTTAAGCAAGTGGATAATAATATTTAGAAACTTTTAGATTATAGTTCTAGTTATTATTTATTTTCAGAAAATGACTTAAATAATTCTATAATATATAGGGTAAATAGTCATAAGTTTATTAATAACATTTGAAAATGTAAATAAACAGTTATGTTTAATATAGAACAAAGTTATCTCAATATTATCTATATCCAGAATAGATTTTTCTATAGAAACAAAAGATAATTTTAATGAAGTAAATTTATTATAATTAGTAATTAACATTAATTAAAATTAAACATCAAACATGTTGAATGGCATTCAAC